ACCTGCGGGCGCTCGGCCCAGGGGCTGGCCCCCTGGCTGCGGTTTCTCATCTGCAAAATGGGGATAAGAAAGCTCTCATCTCTCGGGGCTCTCGTGGGCGTGAATTGACACCAGGCCCGGGAGCTGCTGTTTTTAAATCCTTCCAGGCGCGTTCGGGCAGGAGGTCTGGGGCCCCGCGGCAGCTCTGATTTGGCGGAGACGGGGGGCCGCCAGGAAGGTGCCTCGTCGCCCCCTGCGCCCTCCTCGCCCAAGGCCCCTGGTGTCCTGCAGGTGTCCTGGGAGTTTGGGGTTCGGGGTAGGAATCCTCGTCCCTCAGCTCCATCCCATCTGGAGCGAGGTCCGCTCCCGGCCTCGAGAAGTTTGGGGCTGGCTCCACCTTCTCCTGCAGCCTTCTGGGCAGAGCTGGGGCACCGATCACCCCCGAGCGGGCCAGCCTGTGAGCACTGCCAGGCGCTCGCTGGACCCCAGGCCCGGGTCACCTTTGGCACGCTGCCCCCTTCCTGCCTCTATCAGTGAGCTGCTGGGGGGCGGACTCCACCCGAGTGGCAGAGTGGCCTGACGCCCTGTGGCTAGCTCTTGGGCTTACGTGGACGTGTCTCCCAACGTGGGACACCTTCCCGGAGGCCGGGCCTTGACGCTGGCTAGGTCCAAGCCTGCGTTCCCTGGAGGCCCTGGTGGGTGTGCAGTCCCTGGTCTGCTGTGGCCCTGCCTGTTTGGCTTTTAGCTTCTCTGCTTTTACTTGGAGAGTTAATTTACTCAAACCTGGGAGCCAGGTTTCGCCATGGGAATTTGGCGATGAGTTGGCAGGCCCTGCCTCCTGGGCAGAGAGAGGGCTGGCTGGGTGTCCAGGGCCCAGTCCAGCTCTGACCTCCGGCTTCTCTCCTCCAGCACCTGCCAGTGGTGGGTGCCCCGGAGGAAGAGGCGTGCCTTAAGCTCTGGGTGAGAGAAGGCTGGTGAAGGGAGTGTGGTGTGTGGGAAGGAATTTAAGAATTTACCAGACTGTTACCCAGTCAGGCCTCAGGAAACCACAGACTAGAGCAGGGGTGGACAAACTTTTTGACTCGAGGGCCACAATGGGTTCTTAAACTGGACCGGAGGGCCGGAACAAAAGCATGGATGGAGTGTTTGTGTGAACTAATATAAATTCAAAGTAAACATCATTACATAAAAGGGTACGGTCTTTTTTTTGTTTGTTTATTCATTTCAAACGAGCCGGATCCGGCCCGCGGGCCGTAGTTTGCCCACGGCTGGACTAGAGCCTCAAAAGCGGGTAGAAACCCCAGAGTTTTCAAGAAGCCAGTGGAGAATTTCTCCCAGCCCAGGCCCCGGAGGAGACAGGAAGGAGGGGCCTCTGCCCATCCAGCTGTCATCCCTCCACCCTCCTCTGATCCTACTCTGCTCCTCTTTCTCTTCCCTTCATGTCTGCCCCCCCTCTCTGCTGCCTCCACCCTCCACTCCGTGGTGGCTCCAGAGGGTGGGGGGCTGTCCCAGGGCCAAGGCCCCTTTCCAACTTTTTGGGGAACGTGGGTTGTCTCCCCAGAGGGGCAGGATTCCTTCTGTTTTCCTGCAGGTGTCCTGGGAGTTTGGGGTTCGGGATAGGAATCCTCGTCCCAGGCCAGGCTGCTTAGAGACGTCCAGTCACTCTGGGCTCTTGCTCAGGCAGCGCCTCTTCCTAGAATGCCTTTCGGCCCATCCTCACCAGGCCCCAGGGTCCAGCGGCCTGCTGAGCTGTAGGCGCTTCACCAGCTGCCCCCCACTGTCCACTGGGGTCCCCATGCAAGCACAGGGTGAGTGGTGTCCACCTACCTCCCTGCTGTGTGAGCCGAGGCCTGAGCCTCCCAGGTGGACGAGGGTGAAAGTAGCTGCCGGGAGGGGTGCAAAGGGTCAGTATGAGAAGTGGAGGGACTAGTACAAAATCATACTGCCCGCTCCTACCACAGAGCAGGCAAGGGCAGTCCTCTCCCCTTTAACCCATGCAACAGTGACCTGGTTGTGTGCCAGGGCCGCCGTGGCCCCCTGGCATGGCCTGGCCCTTGCAGGGAGGCTGCAGGAACCATGTGCAGGTGACACCTCCCCCTCAGAGCGTGCCCCCGCCCCCCCAGATGCCCCTGTCTGGCTCCTCAAGGCCTGGAGGCTCAGGGCAGATGAGGTCGGAGCTTCTCCTCGGTGGCCGGGGTCCCTAGGTTCTGACTTCCCAGTCAGGGGAGGACAGACAGCACACCAGGCTGTTTGTCTGAGGGTGGATCTCCTGTTCAACTGGCTCTTAGAGAGGCCAGGCAGGACCTTGATTGACAGCAACCTCGGGGCCTTGGAAGGCTCAGTATGCCTGCCTGCTCTCCAACCAGGGGGCCAGCCTCAGGTCTTCTGCCTGCTTAGACCCTGGACTCTGGTTGGGGGTCTCCCTGCTGGGGGCATGTGTAGGAGGAAGTGCAGGGGGACGCCCTGTGGGGAGGACAGGTACCCTCCCACCCCTGCTGCCAGGTGCCTTCAAGATGGTGGCTCCCTCCGCCTCTCTGGACGGTCATGGGGTGGGAGGTGTCCCCGCGAGTCCAGCTTCTGTAGGGCAGTGGGCATTGGCTTTGGAGTTGGGAGACAGGGTCCTCTCAGGGAGATGGCCTGGCGAGGCCTCCTGGCTCTCAGGTGACTGTGAGGTTAAAAGGATGAGGCTTCGGAGGCCCGAGGCCCTGACACAGGCAGGCCCCGCGGCCCACTCTGCCTGCAGATGTTCTGGGCGAGGGCGCTGAGACCAGTGAAGGGAGCGAGTGGGAATGCAGGTGTCTGCCCCCGGAGACCCTGCCTGGGACCTGCCAGCAGAGGCCGGTGGGTGAGGGTCTGCCCCTCCCATCCCAGAGGCTGAGACAAGTCTGGAGCCGGAGGCAGGACCTCTCCCACAGGGAGGGAACCTCCAGCGCTCCCAGCACCTGCATCCCTGGGACCCCGAGGCTGGGCCTGGCCACCAGGAGCCTGGTGGGCTGGAGGGGTCCAGCCGGAGGCAGAAGGAAGGCCAATCAGCATACCACGGGCAAGTGTTAGGTATCCCAAACACCCCGAATCCAGTTACAGCCCAAGAAGAGAGGCTCTAGATCTAGGATTTTCAAATTCAAAACATGAAATGGAAAAAAAAAAAAAGGCTGATCTCACTCTACAGAAGCTAAGTGTGTCTCAGGACCAAAACCACAGTGTGGAAGCCAGGTCTCCTCGTCCACCTGTGAGCGTCAGGGCTCAGGAGGAGGAAAGGGCTGGCGATGGCGACTGTGATAAGTGAAAGTGGAAATTTTCTCTGATCACAAAAAGGTGAGTCTGCAGAGTGACGGCTGGTGCAGTGCCAGGCAGGGTTGTTTTGAAGAAGAAAGGCACACGCCCTTGGCATCTCCAGCGGCATTCCTGAAGTCCACGATAAAATCTCAGTCTTCCTGTCTGAATAAATCAGTTATTGACACAGAAAAAGCCTGGAAGCCAGAGGACTTCTGGGACGCCGCCCCCTTCGCACCTCGCCCCAGAGCCTCAGCAGACACAGAACCATTCCCTGGCGGCCTTAAAAAGAAAAGGCTTTTGCAGAAGAGCTGGATTCCCGGGGGGCATTTCCCAGTGGGTTACAGGGTTTGAGTCCTGGCTCCACCATTTCTAATTTATACATTTTTTATTGATTTCAGAGAGGAAGGGAAAGAGAGAAAAATTGAAACATCAGTGATGAGAGAGAATCATTGATCAGCTGCCTTCTGCACGACCCCTACTGGGGACTGAGCCTGCAACACCAGGCATGTGCCCTGACTAGGAATCGAGCTGTGACTTCCTGGTTCATTGGTCGACACTCAACCACTGAGCCACACCAGCCGGGCCCGGCTTCTCCATTTCTAGCTGTGTGGCGTGGACATGTTACATGCCTTAGTTTCCTCATCCATCAAATGGGCGAATAGTCCTTTCTGTATAGGTATCAAGAGAGAGAACTAGTATAGGTACAAAACTAAGAATAGTAACCAGCAGGCAGAAACACTACATGTTAGCTGTTTTAATTATACGTAAACACTCCTGGCGGTAAAAGGACTCTAGGATGTACACACATAAAATTCTAGGGAGAAGCCCTGGCCGGTGTGGCTCAGTGGGTTGAACATCGTCCCCTGCACCAAGGTTCGATTCCTGGCCTGGGCACATGCCCGGGTTGCAGGTTCATCCCCGTCTCGGTGTGTGTATGGTAGGCAACCAACTGATCGCTGTTTCTTTCTCACATCGATGTCTCTCTCTCTCTCTCTCTCTCTCTCTCTCTCTCCCCCCCTCTCCCTCTCCCTCTCCCTCCCCCTTCCTCTTTTTCTGAAACCAATAAAAACATATTTTTTAAAAATCCTAGGGAGGAAAGCGCGGCAGTTACTCAGTCTCACTGAACCTCAGCATCTCCGCCATGAGGTGGGGTAACAAGGCGTCTGCAATCTGCACAGCGTGCAGGACTCAGAAGTGTCTGTGAGCCTTTGTCTCCGAGGGGGGCTGGATTTTGGCAGGGCCGGGGCCGACACACCACCAGGCATGACCGCAGTCACAAGCTGTTCCCTGGGTATCAGGCGACTCCCACTCGGGAAGGGAGTGGTCAGCCGGCACTTGCCACGCACCAGGTCCTGGGTGGGTGTTTCCCGGGAATCCCCTGGGGGAAGTCGGTGCTCACACCAGGACTGACTCGGAGATGAGGCTCAGACACTGAGCCCTTTGTGAGCTCGGCCAGCTGGTGACAGAGGGGAAACCCAATTCTGAGTGAGGGTCCAAGTCCAAAGTTTCTGGAGTCCCCTGCCAATGCCAGGGGTGTTTGGAGCAGTGGGACCATGCAGCCCCCAGGGGACATCTTCTGTTTCAGCTGCGTGAGCAGCAGGGTGAGGGAGAGACACCAGCTTTGAGTTGGACAGATCCTGGCATGACCTTGGGGATGTCACCCTCACATGCTCCCTCATCCTCCAGCCATGAGGATTAAGGGGCTCCGGGGAGGAGCTCGGTGCACAGCAGGTAACGGCCTCCCATAGCTCCACCCCCCACTGCGGGTGTCTGAGATATCTGGGTCTCAAGTCCCCCTTTCTTCCTCCAGGTGTGGCAGGCGTGCTGGTGGGACACCCATTTGACACGGTCAAGGTGAGTCACTTGTCGTGGTTTTAGTGTCGGGCCCTGTGGAGGCCCACACAGAGGACAGAAGCCTGCAGGGTCTCAGTGGCTGGGGCTCCTTCCCAGGGCCCACCTTAGGAACCCTCAGGGTCTTCCCACAGGTCCTAGGGCAGTGGTTCTCAACCTTCCTAATGCCGCGACCCTTTAATACAGTTCCTCATGTTGTGGTGACCCCCAACCATAAAATTATTTTCGTTGCTACTTCATAACTGTAATGTTGCTACTGTTATGAATTGTAATGTAAATATCTGATATGCAGGATGTATTTTCATTGTTACAAATTGAACATAATTAAAGCATAGTGATTAATCACAAAAACAATATGTAATTATATATGTGTTTTCCGATGGTCTTAGGCGACCCCTGTGAAAGGGTCGTTCAACCACCAAAGGGGTCAAGACCCACAAGTTGAGAACCGCTGCCCTAGAATACGTGGAGCAGAATCCTCTTAAATCTTTGGCTGAGCACTGAACTGTGCTTGCAAGGAGTCATACTCCACAAAGTGGGGTTCAGAAAGCAGTGTGCCAAACAAGCAAACAATTCCCAGAGCTCACTCAGCATGAGGAATGGGTTTTGTCCCCCAACCCAGATTGGAACGATGTGATAATACAGGGATCAGTAGATAGAGTCCTCAGAAGTACACTTTCATAGCCTTAGAGCTTTAAAAGCAGGCCTCAACCAGAACAAGCAGATTCCAAATAACTTACCTGCCTGCACTGAGCCGAGTGGGCCGGGCCTCCTGGTCTGCCCCACATCTCCCGGCAGGGGCGGCCTGTCCAGGTCCATCCTGGGGCTTGGCCAGCTGAGACCGGGTGGGGGGGCGGCCAGTTTCCCCTCGCTGAGAGCAGGGATCCCCAACTGTTCTTGCAAAACAACTCCAGACCGCTTCCTAAAGGAAAGAAAAGCTCAGGGAGAAAATACAGAAAAATCCAAACTCGTCAGGATTCCCCAGGAAGGTGACCGTCATTGTCAAGACATTGGTGAGCGTTTCCCAGGGCAGGTGCACACCTGCGCGGTGCTGGCGGGCAGCACGCAGCAAGCCCCGCGCCCCGAGAAACCCGAGTCCCAGGTTCTCAGACGCCTCAGAGCAGAAACCAAGCAAGGCCACGTCCTCCCTCCAGACGTTCCAGCTCAGATTTTCCCTGTGGTTGGGGTTTCACGCCCTTGAACTAGCCAAGTCAGGGCCCGACCTCATCTGCTCACCCAGGAGCCAGGGCGTCTGTTGTACACGGCAGGGCACAGGGCAGACCTGTCCCCTGTGAACACTGCCCACGGGGGGAGGGCAGAGCTCAGGCAAGGACATCCCCTTCGCTGGTTCGAGGCGGGCTTCCGGTCTCCTTGTTTCCGGACCCAGGGGTTCCTCTGCCAGGAAAAGGACCTGCGAGCTGGGGGCTGGGTGTCCTGCAGCAGAGATGTTGGGGCCACGCCTTACGCACGGGCTCCTGGGGAAGGTCTGTCCCTGGGCCTGGTGCAGGGCCAGGCCTCCCTCCCGCTGGTCTGCGCAGTGACGTGGGCCTGTCACTTTGCTTCTGGGCCCAGACGTCCCCGTCTGCACAGTGAGGGGTTGGGCAAGATTCCTGAGGCCCCGGTGGTGACCGGCGCACGGTGTAGACTATGTGGGAGGAGAGGCCGGTCCCGAAGAGCACAGGTTTCCTCCCATCGCCCTGCGGGCGGGTCCGGGGAGGAGGCTGAAGGGCCAGGCTTTCTGGCCACACAGCGGCCCCTGAGTTCCCTGAGGGCCACCGAGAGCGAGGCCCTGGTGGCGTGTGTCCACACGGCTGCCCAGGCTCTGCTCAGCTGACCGCCTGTGAAGCCTGTCCACAGCCAGGCAGCCCAGGCCAGCCTGGCAGTGTCCACGTTGTGCTGTGTTTATATCTGGTGGTCACGTGTTGTAAAGGCCTCTTGAAGCTGCGTCCAGCCAAGAAGTGGCTCTGATTCACATCCTCAGCCCAGCTCTGCGGAGGCCGCTCCGAGCTGTGACTCAGCCCAGGCCTGGCCAGGCCTTCTGCAGGCTCCCGTTGGGTCCCTCAGGCCAGAGCACTGGTCCTGGCATCCCTGCCCCCTCTGGCTCCTGAGCCAGACAAGCACCCCTTATAGCAAGTGGGGTGCAGGAGCTTCTGCACCTCCTGGGCTAATGCTCTCTGGAACCCCCTTACCGGGCACCTAGAGGGAGCAAATCTGTGACTTTTTTTTTCCCCCCGCCAGCATCACATCTGGGCAAACTGTCTTTAAAATCTGAGTTTTTTATAAAGGGGAGAAACCTGTCCCAGTCATCACCTTCCGTGACCGTATTGTCCCGCCCAGGGCTCACATGGTGCTGGGCGTGGAGCGCTCTTGTGGTTTAATTTAATGTTATAATGGCTTCATTTTTTTACTGGCTGTTTTCCATTATAAAAGTTAAACGCTCTTCTTACAAGCAAATTGGGAAATGTAGAAAAGCAAGTGACTTCCTCCAGCAGACCAACCTGCCCTCACACCCCGTGCGTGGCCTTCCCCTGGGCAGGCGACGTTTCTGTGTATAGTCATCAGGTACACACACATTTTTTTGGTTGGCTTTCTGTTACAAAAGTAATTCAAGTTGTAAAAAAATTTAACCGTAACAGAGACATATAAACTTAAAGGAAAAAAACCACAGTCCTTCATACATCGTCCCCGCCCAGTGGATGATTTCTGCTGAAAAACAAATGTCCTACATGCTTGCTTCTGCAGAGATAGGATTTGTTTCATAGCCCTGCAGCTGAAATGAAAACTTAATGTATAGGAAAGGGCAAAGGTGCTAAGAGTGCAAACCTAGGAATCTTGGGAGAAGAACAAGGCCCGAAGCCCCCTCCCCTCTCCAA